ATGCATGTAATGAATGGAAGAAACCCGTTTATTAGGTTTCATCCCATTTGAGCAGGACTACCCAATTAAGAATTACCAATAAGCTGTTCATAATCAATTTCTGTACCTTTCTGAATTGATTTATACTATTTAGAGTATTAGCAAGGTAATAAAATGCTAAAACGAGAAGGATTTATTGTATAAACAACAATAATAATTATAATAATTATAATAGCAATAATAATAACTGTATTTGTATGATCTAAAAAGAACTACAGATGATATTCCCATTTCTTATACATGGCTGCTGGACTCCATAAGTCCTATAGGGTGCAGATATGCATGAGAATGGTGTCACGGTCATGCTCGTCCAGTAAGTGTTGTCAGTGGCCGCATGCCCATGCCAAACTCTTTAACTTTTATATTTTTTATTTGTATGACTATTCGGCGAAATATGTCTAGGTTTGTTAGACCTAAATCACCCCAAAATCTAAAGGGGGGTAACTAATTGTCAACTCCTCCCCCTGATTTTGTATGATTGTTGGCAAAATCACGCCTAGGTTCGCCAACCTGAATCGCCTCAAAATGTACTATAGGAGGATGCGACTAATTGTCAAATTCTTCCTACCCAAAAAAGTTATATGCTTACTTAAGCCGTTGTGTTGCCTTTTACTTGTATGCCATATAACATTGCTTTCAATTTCTCTCAATCTTACATTTGAACTCTCTTTCAAAATCTCTCTGCCCCGTTTTCTAAAACTTTCATCTCAAATCAGAGCTAGAGGCTTAAGCATACGTTGTCTGGCTGTAAGCAACGCAAATACAAGTTGGCTTGACTCACTTGCTGCTGAGAAGTGAGTGCAGCACAATCGCAAAGTCCGCTGCCAAGAAAAGTGCAATTGTGATACGTGGCACCTATAACAAAAAGTATAACCCCCTCTACGAAAGTTTGGATGGTTCCTAAATATCTAAATATCTAATCTATCTATTTATATATATATATATTCCTTTTTTTTTTTTTTTGGTCCCTAGACTTCTAAAATTTCAATTTTAATCATTCAACTTCCACTAAAATTTATATGTTAGTACATAACCTGATAGAAACCTAAGAACTGAAATGATATTGAAAGATAAAAGAACTAGAATTAACTCCCAAAATAATTCAAGATATTTGGACCATCCCCTCTTTGAGCTCACCCACTCAAGCCCAAACCAACTAAACTATTGCCTAACTACATCTCCTTTCACTCTCTCTATTTATAACCAGGTTCGATGCTGATGTCTAATACACTCTTAATAGCCTACTAATATTTCTAACTTCTACCCTAATGACATTTCTATCAACCACCAATTTTCCTTTCACTCCCATACTGTTTTTAAGAAATTACAGTTCACCCAAGCAAAAGATTTCCACATAAATTCCCATTTTTCCACGTCTTGCAAATCATGACATTTCATTATGTTTTCCTTGGGTATTTATCTCTTTCTGCAACCACAACATGGATATGTCCATAATTTCTACATAAACTTTACGGCTCATCAGACACTCAACAATATGATATAGTCGTCCAACCATTCAAGATTGTAACAACCCAAGCTCACCGCTAGCAAATATCGTCCTCTTTGGACTTTACCTTTCAGGTTTCCCCTCAAGGTTTTTAAAACGCGTCTGCTAGATGTTTCCACACCCTCATAAAGAATGCTCCGTTCTCCTCCCCAACCGATGTGGGATCTTACAATCCACCTCCATTTGGGACCTAGCGTCCTCGCTGACACTCGTTCATCTCTCCAATCGACGTGGGATCTCACAAAGATTTTCAACTCGCCCAGCAGAAAATCAAATTTATGTCTTCCCACTTCCTCTGGGGAAAACTTCCTTTAAAGTCCAACTTGAAATCCAATCTGAATTTCTTACTTTAGATCCTACAAGCACACACGGAAGATGTAAACATTTTCCTATATTGATAATACTGATCAACCATCTAGAACCTATGTTACATAAGAAACTACACGTGAGTGCAGAAGAGGAAATGTCACCTAGAGAGAGCTCCATTTTCTTTTTCACAAGGGAGCTTCTTAGGAGTGCTCTTGTTCATAAAGGTTTAAATAATATTTTGTTAGTCCCTGCATTTAATATTCTCCCAATTTCAAGACTAATAGTTAATACCCAAGACTCATTAATAGTTAATAAAGTTTATGCCTCATACGTGAGGAAAAATATCAATCCTAACTTCGCAATTGGTTAATAATATAACATTTCAAACATTATTAAAAGAATATGAGAGATCTAGAGCTCAAAGATAGATCATAAATGTACTGTAGATTATAGAATTAAAAATCATATGCATGTAAAAGATAAACGAATTTCAAAGCGAAAATAACTTCAGTAGCTGATTATATTATAAACATTTTAATCTGATGCCACAGGACGCAAAGAAATCAAAAGAAGACTTCCCCTGGATCAGAGAATATTTTCTGATTGGAACATAGAATCTAATCTAGCGCGTAACAAACTTGAGCAATGCTAACATTGAAAAAAGGAAAAAACGAGTTCTTATGGCCATGCACATAAATGTTAGCAGAACATCATCAATTTGAGAAGGAAAAATAGGATCAGACAATTATAATTACTTTAAGAACACCAAATGCAACAAAGAACTCACCCATTCACCAGGGCAAAGGGCACGATAATACTTTGCAAATCTCTCACATTCACCAGACTCCTCACCCTTTGCTGTCAGGCACCTGTAGAAAGTTTTGCACATTTAAGGGGAAACTAAAGATCAGAACAGAGAAGGCTATAGAGTTGTAGACCGTTTCATTTTTCCATTTTAACTCTCATCCCAAGCTGTAAGAAAAATGCACCTGTGGAACTCAATGTAACGAGTGAAACAGTGCCTGGTTTGATTTGTAGTAGGGAATCGGAAGTCAGCAGGTGCTGTTTTCAGCTCAATCTGGAATGACAAACAAGAAGCATAGAACTAATAAAAATATGGAATAGACGTTGAAGAGCATCATCTTCTTGAAGGATTACCGCTTGCCTTATAAATACTCAAAAGATCTGTTTGCCAGTGCGACAGAATGATACACATCATTAAAGTTTAATCCAATCAGATATGAGTAGTTTGTAATCATTTTCCTCATAAAATCTTTCCAATATTGCAACATTTTACTAATTATCTTGTGTCATACACCTCAACTCTGGCATACAACAAGATGCAAACTAACATCCCTAGGTTACTATCTTCAATTATTGACAACAGCAAGAAATATTATCTACAATATGTACCCAATGTCAGTTTTTTTTTTTTACTATAAACATTTGTTTCATGCATAAAATTGTGCTAAATTGACACAGTTTGATGTGATTCTGATCTTTCATCTATTATTGCTTATTGGGATTTCTGTTTACTATCCTTCTCAAATGTGAATGGAGATGATGTTTCATCCTTCCCATGTCTTATCTTCTACTATTCTAATAAAAATATATTTCTGAAAGCATCAATTCTATATCCCATGGTGTGAAGTTTACTTTGGAAAGGGTCAAAGAATCTGTATTTGACACGATATACAGTGTTGAATCTCCTCTTCTCACATTTTTTTTTTTTCCACAATATGTCAATAATCTTCAATCAAAAACATTTAAGTAGAATCCTTATGTTCTCGGAATATGTCAGTATTCATGATGTGAATCTTAATTTTGGTAATGATGGGAAAAATTCAAAAAAGGGGATTTCTAGTCTTTTCGTTGTAAACAAGAAAATTCCTTCTCAAACTTCAATTCACAACTTTATCAGCGACATTCAACAGAAAAAACATTCCTCTCTTCTGTTCTCCTGCTGTTTCATTCATTTCATAACCAATGTTTGTCATTCAAATTAAAATAGTCATTATTTTCCTTACATTTTTGCAGCTTCCAGCATCTTATTATGCCCAAAATTAACCTAAGGTAACAGATCGAAGGTTAAGACTCCGATCAATACATCCAACAAGCGTTGAAGAACTCCTGGCTCGTCGCACGCGGAACACAATCCCTCATCTAAATTCTAAAGAAATTCCAATCCTACAATTACGTTGGAAATTGTGAACGGTGAAGCTGGTTTGTAGAATCCTACAACTACATTGAAAAAAGAAATAAAGCAGAAATACTATTCCTCTAAACTTAATCCAGATCATGCGTATAATCCAAACCGAAAAAATAGTTAAACAAAAAAAAACAGAGAACAAAACAAGCATTACAGAAACATACTCCTTATACAGAAAACGATTATTGCACCCAAATCGAGGCCGTTAATGATTGGAAAAAGGAAATGATAAATACAGAATATGAAATGAAAAAAGAAAAAATTGATTCACTGCCATAGATTTTTCTTGAAACTAAACACACAAGAGAGCAAAACGAAGCTTACCTCGGCCATGACTGATCAGATTCAAGCTCCAAGAAATAGAGATCAAACGGAGGACTCTGTAATAACGTGGACGAAGACGCAGTTAAAGTTGAACCAACAAAGAGTGCTCGTTGTGTACAGTAAGAAATCATATAAGAACTCGCAGAAGGGCCAAATCTATATGGGCCTTTGTTGGGCCATCCAAATTCAGCCCATTAGTTTACTATTATTAAATGCTAAATTAATAAAATAGTTTTTTTTTAATATCTCTAAATTTTTAAAAAATATTCTTAAAATCTTAAATTATTTAAAAAATTATTCTTTTAACTTCAAAAAGATTTTAAAATATTCTTAAAGTTTCATTAATACTTTAAAAATAAAATTAAAATTTTAGTACGACCATTTTTGTTCAAAGAGTGTTGTATTGATCTTGTTACTTTGGTACATAATTCAATCTTACACAAACTCATTGCCCACAACACTTGGTTCAACGTCCTCGTGTGCGAGACATAGTGCAGAAGTTGAACTCTTTAATATAAACCGTAATATTACTTGTTAAATAGAAACCGAACGAGTAAGAACCGAACCTTGACAAAAATTACATCAAGGCTTGCCATGCATTCTTCATGTATTTGCATAATACTGAACATGTTACAGGGACAAACTTTGAACTAAACATCTCAACTATACTTTCAACAAACAAAATATTGGAGTTAATCATAACAAAGAAGTAGAAATCATGGCTTCTCACACACTTATCTCCGAGCAATGCTGTCGATAGGGGCAGCCACACCCGCAACCGTTCCAGTGCTGACCGGGCCATTGTCAACGGGGTGAGGGATTTGACTGTCTCCTGATGCCACAGAAGCCATTGCAACGTACGGCCTTCCGTACATATCAACATAGCCATTGGCACCGGTACGAGGTGGGTACATAGGATCCAAATTCACGTACGCACCACTGTATGCACTTGGTGCTACAGAAGCAGGATAGTTTCATTGCAAGTGACATAAGATCCAAAGATGGAAAAACAATGATGTGTATGCATGTGTGAAAAGAAATGTACCATAAGCCCTTTTCTCCACATTCAAAATCTCGGCTCGCAGCCTCTCTACTTCCCTTGCCAGGGCAATCAGATTCATTTCTGTTGCTTTCATTTGCTCTACTTGTTCTACGTTCATACCTTTTTCGTGCTCGAACGTGACTCTGCATACCGAATCGATAAATATAAAAAGGAATCGACGATGTGAAGTTAAAACAAATGTCAGGACTCAGATATTTATAATGCATTTCAAGAAAGAGAGAAGTAATGTTGCCACGGTTCACATTGCACCGTTATGCTGTCAACCGACAAGTGACAATAATAACCTAGTATGTCCGAAAGAACACAGCAGATAATCTCGACTCTTACGTAGCATTACCAAGAGACTTACTCTATCTATCTAATCCCAACTATCGTTTATAAAGCAAGGCATATTTAGGGTAGGATTTTCTAAGTTTGTAGCAAAAAAAAATTGAATTGATTACCATAGCAATGGGGTCCATTTTTAAAGACTATAATGATAAGAGGGTTATCTAGCTAGCATGAATGAAGGTTAGGCATAATGGAGAGAAAGAGAGCATTGCCATAAGCCTTAATACTTGACCCTCGCCGATGAACTACAAGACGACCCAAGTATTTCAAGTCGTCTCTTGACCACTTACACTCAAACCTAAGCCATCGACATTTGAATTAAAATTAGAGAATTTAGAGATGGACGTTTTCATTCATTCACAAGCCTAAGCCAATGAGCTTATTAATCCGAGGTTATATAAAAGTTGATATGGTCCAATATTTACAATCTCGAGCCCCTCCTGTATGAGGAACAGAAATGACCAAAATGGATAATGGTGGGAAGGAGGAAGGCTGAAACTCACAACGAGGTCGATAGAGATGATTGGAAAAGTATGGGTGTCAAATTACCCTATATACGAATGAAATGATAGGAGGGGTGGGGTTGTTTCAAGGTTCAAAAGGGGTGACAGGAGAAGGTACTGCCTGGGCCAAGGAACACTGTTCTTGGCCTTTTGTCATTCATATAGCTGGAGAACCGGAGACAAATGGCAAAAAAAGGTTTCAAGCATAAATCGATCATGGAAAGAAGTAAATGATCGGTGCATAATTGTGATGTCCCACATTGGTTGGGTTCCCAACCCACCATTTAAAAGGATGTGGAAACCTTCCCCTAGCAGACGCGTTTTAAAGCCTTGATGAGGGGAAGCCCGAAAGGAAAAGCCCAAAGAGGACAACATCTGCTAGCGATGGATCTGGGCCGTTACAATAATCTATTTCGCCTCATAATTCTAAGTTTCAGCTACATAGTTCTATAATAAATGATGAAATTCAGAAACATTGTACAAGAAAAGCAGCAAAAGTCGAACGAAAACTTACCTTAACCTTTGGTGTTCTTTCCTCAAATCCTCGAGCTCAGCATGTAAATTGGGAAGATTATTAACATCAGACCCTGTTTTATGCAACTCTTGAGTTTCTTGTTGAATTTGGAAGGCCAATTCTTGTTTGTCTTTGACCAAGGCTTGAACCTCCTTGTGTGCCTGTTGCAAGTCCTTCTTCAGCCCCTCTCCAGCTTCAATATTTGCTTCCATTTTCACAATTTTATCCAACAGTACTCTCATCTGAATATCGCTTTCTGTCTGAATACTTCGGATATGTGCCCGTGCATTTTGTATTTCCTTCTCAGCAGCCACAAGCTCTTGCCTCAACGTGACATGAGCGGCTGCCAACTTACGATTTTCCCTTGCAAGTTTTTCTATGTCGGATGTCTGAACATCTAATTTATCCTCTAATAATTCAAGAGACTTATGACCCACAGCAGAATCCGATCCAGGAAACTGACCATGCCGCCTCAACCCTGTAGTCTTAACAGGACGTCCATTGTATAGCGGTTGAAGTGTTCCTCTTGTGGACATTTATGATTTTCGTCCGACGCCCTTGTCAAACGCTGCAGACTCAAAAGAATATACACACTTTTATATACAGCTAGATGCTTGAACTAACAAAACATACAAAAAAAACAGAATGCGAACTTATGGACAAATTTATAAATAAATCAAATATGATTGCTATGACAAGAAACTTGTTTCTTAAATTCATGTGTAAAGACAAATAAACAAATCCTAGTCCAACCAGACAAAGGAATAGTCCAAATTCCAAACGCACGATGGAGCCGAAAAAATATTAAAAAGAATATTTATGGCCAAAAAAGAAGAAAAAAAAAATCTTGACTTAGCAGCTCAAAAAGAGACATTACAGATTCAAACCTCAAACAATTTCTCAATACCCCTAAACACCTTTAGAATTCAAGGACACAATTGTACAACCTGTTCGAGATCTTGTTCAAGTAACGTTATAATACCCTTGAACGCCCTTAGAAACTCCTTTACCTTTACTTGACATTCCAAGGGACTGCCAAGAATCCTGATTTCTAAATAAACTTTCGTTGTTCTGAAAGAGAGTTAAAATAACTTCTTCCAAAAGATTCACTCTAGCTCATGGCCACCTCAAGTAACTAGATCCAACGATCGTCCTAAAAACGAACAACTCAGACAAAACATGATCAAAATTCTCAGAAGACTATATATAGAGAATGCACCCTTACTAAGGTCAACTCATCTAACTCCCTTTCAATGAAGGGATCTTTTGAGATAGAAATTAAAAGACAGACTACACACAGGAAAAGTAGAGTAAGGAAATAATGGGAGAAGATCCTTTTTCGCAATAGCGAGAGTAAAGGTGAGGTTAAAACGAATGAAGAGAACTACTACCAATCGAACCATCCACTTAAAAAACATATCAAAGAGCATTTTCCAATCAACAGTTCAAAACTACAAGCTATATTAGTATGCCACGGAGCATCATTTTCGGAGGAGAAATATCTCAACCATTGGGTTAAGAGACCCAAATTTTAAGAAGCAAAACTCTCAATATACAGATACCATCCTCCTCACAAATTTTAGAGAACAACTCCCACTTAACCAATTGAGAAGAAAGAACTCCCATCTTCCCCCTACACCGTTCACAAAAAGTCGCTCGAGCTCTAACAATGACAAATATAAAAAAAAAAACAAAAGAGGAATGCCACTGAAAATGAATTAGATATGTATTGCTTTCATCCAAAACAGGTTGAATACCTTTTTTTTCAATGAAATGGAAATATCTTACCTAAAACAATAAAGCCTGCTTACTCATATCCAAATAATGACTGCTTCAACTGAGAAACCACATAATATCCAAATGCATGTCAACCAGAAAAACTAATACCAATATGCTCAGGCGATCAGATAAACCTCTTAACGATATATATGTAAGTAATTCTTTCGATACCCTTAGTCGCACCTTGACTATCACATTACAAAACAGTCTAACTCTACAATATTTATTTTGTTAGGAATCACGACCCTCCACGATGGTATGATATTGTCCACTTTGAGCATAAGCTCTCATGAGTTTGTTTCGGGCTTCCCCAAAATGCCTCATACCAATGGAGATGTATTCCTTACTTATAAATCCATGATCATTCCCTAAATTAACCAATGTGGGACTCCCTCCCAACAACCCTCGAAATATTTTTAGCTTCTTACATAACCACCATGATCCTCCAAAACCCCCTTTACTTTTTTCACTTGCCCAAATTACCATAATGTAAACTTATACTCGATATCAAAATCAAAATAACATGAACAAAGAAACTAGCAAGCCCTAAAACAATCGATTGTGCTACCAGTCTACCACAACCAGAGGCTCTGGAGAAGTCGATAAGCTGTAAAATCGAGACCAACAACATGGGACGCGAGAAAAAAGCAACCCGATATCATAAAACTACAAATCCCGATACAAAGCAGTTATCGCCGGCAAATTAAGAACCATGGATGATCAAATACGCAAAAAAGAAACTCAAAAGAACAAGAAAATTTGAGACGAACCAGTTAATCTTCTTGGCCTGAAATTGCAAACTGAGACGATGGAAGAGCCACAAAAAGCAGAAAGATGATATCCACCGGGAGGAAGATGAACAGAGGAAATTGGGAAGATATCACTTACTGTTAGGGCTTTTTTTATTCATCAATTTGGTTTCATTCATGTTCATTGTTCAGTTAAATTTGGTCATAAATATTTGTATCCAATTTGACAATAATGCTAATTTATTTTTCATTAGTTTTCCATTATATTTATAATATTTGTTTGAAATCTATCCTCTCAATTTGAAAAAATTTTAAACTTTAATGGTTGAAATTGAGGATGGACCAAGTCCAAGATCAATTGGGGTTAATACTTCCCTCTGGATTGCACTCGCACACAGTATGATGAGCACGGTGATCATGGAGAGCATGACACTAGGAATTCTATTGACCTCCGACATTGCTACATACAACTAGTTTGACCAGAGAGGATCCAAGGGGTGTGCGATTTGTCTGGGGATCCACACTCGCATGTGTGAATCGTGTATAAGGAAATACTACATATCTATAGTAGTTCGTACTGGAGGTCACTCCTAGTATGAGATGAGATAGACATAGGTTCCTAGAGCATGATTGCATATGATTGCATTTAGCATGACCCCATAGTGGAGTCACTTACTGAGTATTCTTCGAAATACTCAGGTTGTGTCGTATTATCTTTCAGGTTAAGGCAAGACACCCATGTACGGATGACGGCGACATCTTGAGTAGAGACTCTGGCACGTGCATAGGATAGAGGCATATTTAACTTCCTAGTCTTAGATTAGAATAGGTTGTCTTACATTTCATCATTTTAAAATATTTTATTTTGAATTTCCAATATTTCTTTTGAAACACATAAGACTGATAGTGTTTTCTAGAGTTAGATGACGTTTTAAATGTTTTCAACATTTATATTGAAGATGTCGTTTCCTTTAAAGAGTTAGATTCTGTATTTTAGCAGAGCATGAAACATTAGTAGCGATCCTGAGTAAGTAGAAATTTAGAGTCGCTACATATGGTATGTGAAGTTGTGTTATGTTATGGAAAGTGTTATATCATGTTATACATTATATGATAAGATGACATGAAATGATTAAGTTAGGTATGAAATGAGCGAAGGCATAACTTGCATTATAAATACATTTCATGATTTTAAGGTATGGGGACCTTATATAACTTGTATGTTCACATGCATCAGGATACTTTCTTGTTATGACGAGTACGGATGCGTACATTACGATATCTATATACGTTATGATATTATGTGGATTCCTTCCCGCTTGGTGGGTCCATGTGCGCATATGTGGGCTGTGTGCAGAGAACTACTGCACGTCCAATTTTTGCCCTAACTGGAAAGCAAAGTTCAAGGCCATGAAATATTTTTATGAAATGATAGATCTCACTATGATTACTTGTGTATGCATTTTTCGACCCCAACAGCAGAGTTACTTACTGAGTATTTCTTAAAATAATCAAGTCACTTGACACTCTTATTTTTTAGGTAAAGGTAAGACACCCCTTGTATAGATGACAACGTTGTCGTGGAGACCATGGGACTGAAGTTAGGATTATTGCATTTATGTTAAATTTGTAGATCACGACACGTTCATGACATTGTTTACAAAATATTTTAAGTGAGTTTTTTTCGTGCATATTAGACATGTCATACATGCCTTAGCGACCTTGTTTCTAATAGAAAAAAAAATTATTTGTTATTATTATATATATTTATTTAGTTTTATATGTAAAAAGCAGAATCCTCGTCCCTAGTCCCATTTATTTAACGGAAAAAAAAAAAAGTTCTCTTCACTCCCTCCCTCATTCCCGGTTTAAATGAAGATTCTCCACCCCATTTGGAGCGGGTCCCTATGAGGCCCGGCTTCGTGCAGTAAATGGAAATCTCTACTCTCACTTGACTGTAGAAAGACTTAATTTCTAGTTTGATTATAAATAAATTATTCATTAGAGATAATTTGTTTGACGAAGTCAATATCTATAATTAATCCCAAACCTCTATGTCAAAATGTTTCCACAGCCTTATAAATCCTCAAGGCTTTAGAACGCGCACCCTTATAAATTCTGATAGGGGAAGGTTTCCACACCCTTATAGAGTCCTTTTTGGGCTTTCTTTCCCTTTCGGGCTTCCCGGCTTTCTTTCCCTTTCGGGCTTCCCCTCAAGGCTTTAGAACGCATCTGATAGGGAAAGGTTTCCAATCATACAATATGCTTAATTTAGAGTTATTGTATTTCATTAATGGTTAATTATGGCCCTTTAATGGTTTCATTTTGAGGCTATATAAAGACATGTATGTTGTATTTGTAAGAGACTTGGAAAATGTATGCTGTTTCATTTTGGGTGGATTGCAATTAAGAGACTTGCTTGTGGAGTGATTCGAACCTCAAGCACCAAGTGTTCTTGCCTTGAGATATTTGATCAACAAACCTCAAGCACCAAGTGTTCTTGCCTTGAGATATTTGATCAACAAGAATTATTCAAGCTAAACATGATCGATCTTGCTTGTGGAGTGATTTGAATCTCAAGCAATGTTCTTGCCTTGAGATATTCGATCAATAATTCGATCAATATCTTACTTTGTAATTCCTTATCTTATCACCCTTAAGAATTCTGATAGGGGAAGGTTTCCACATCCTTTCTCCACCCCAACCAATGTATCTTATTCCCCTTGTAGTGGTTCCTTATCTTATCACCCTTATAAGGGTGAATCCACACCCTTTCTCCACCCCCACACCCTTATAAATACCCCAATCAATGTGGGACATCACAATCCACCCCCACACCCTTATAAATACCCCAACCAATATGGGATATCACAATCCACCCCCTTCAGGGCCCAACGTTCTTACTGGCACACCGCCTCGTGTCTACCCCCCTTCGGGGAACAGCAAGAAGGCCTGCACATCATCCGATGACTGGCTCTGATACCATTTGTAACAACCTAGATCCACCGCTAACAAATATTGTCCTCTTTGGACTTTCCCTTTCGGGCTTTCCCTCAAGGCTTTAGAATGCGTCTATTAGGGAAAGGTTTCCACACCCTTATAAATGATGATTTGTTCTCCTCCCAACCAATATGGGACATCACAACCATAGAAGGCCATAAATGAAGCAAACTCCAAAAGGATGTAAAATTTAAATAAACATCACTTACATACATGTCTCCACTAGCAAGTTACAAGTTACAATGCATATATAATCCCCCTACACAAACGGCCTTTTTACTAGAACAGTGAGGGTAACAACTATCTCGAGAAGGAGAAAAGGAAGAAAGGAAATAGAAGGCTTTGTAGCCTCATGAATAGGTGTAGTTTCATTCTGATACTAATCACCGACAACACGCTTGGGCACCATGTGCTTCCACTCATCAGTGTTATCGCTTTAATCATGCATGCATTTCGAGTTTAGTTCAATGTGTTTGTCTAGGTTAAACATGGTTAACCATACAGACAAATTTCTCCCCAAATGCCTCAAATTTAGGGGTATGAATAAATATTTGATATAACTAAAAAGTGAAGTCTTTTAAAATGAAATGGTTCAGTAAGAAATAAAATAACTTTAATTTGGTCCTCTGATCGGAGGAAGTAGTATATTCAATAGTTTAAGTTCATCCTCTTGTTCTTCCATAATATTGCAGCATTACTCGAGTCGTGCTCTTATAAGTGGATAATATCATACTAATATGAGGGTTTGTTGTTCTTATAAATGGTACTAGAGTCGTGCTCTTATCTTGACTTAGTCATGCCAACAGAATCTTCAATGTCGAAAAAATAAATTATAATCCTCGAAGATGTGAGACGGATAAATTTCATATTAATGTGAAGGTTCATTGCTCCTATCACGCCTCACATGTCGTGCATGGGCAGAGTTTCCTCAAGCTAAAGATGAACGTCAAACTTCATATCACTCGACCCAGCCATTTCTTCTGTGCAACTTCTTGAAGAAGTCCATGAGCTAACGAAACTCCTTTAACTATGGTCATGTCCATCAAAGAAGTTTGGATAAAAACTATGGTTAAAGTAAGTAGGGATAAAATACAACAAAAACGTCCAAATCTCTATTAACCCAGTAACCCAGGTTGGTGGTTCTTAGTTTGTTCTTAAATCTTATGACATTTAGTTTGCTTGTTCGTTTTGTGTCTTATTCTTACATAGGAGTTCGTTCCCAAGTATAGATTCTTCCTAGGCTACACCCTAGGTTCACTAAGAGAAAGCTAATTGTCAAACCCTTCTAATAGTCCCACTGAGTACAAGTATAAAAATCATAACCAGTTCTAAAATGATTATTCGAACGGTTGACAGTCAAGTCGAGCTCACGATCAGAGGCTAGTAGGCAAACCCCTAATTGTCCCCATATAACCCCATTAACATCACACGCATGAACAAATCATCAATAGGGACCTAGAATAGCATTCTATACCGGGATACCTAATCATGCTTTCAATTTCGTTCAATTTGAAGTTAAAATAATTCATTGCTTAAAATTTAGGAGTTAGGTTCGATTGAGTTGAAAAAATCTTTTAGAATGACTCAAAATTTCAGGTTCGTTGCATTGGTGACCCAAGTAATTCGAAGAGCTCATAACCCAACCCTCTATACTATTTATCACATATCACTAACTTCCAGTACAAACGTTGTTGACTTATTTAGAATCGGTAGAGTTGACCTAACAAAAAAAAATGTCAACTACCCAATGGAATAAAAATAAAAAGTACATGAGCATGTTCCCATGATGTGCAGCTGCCAGCCATTCTATCTATAAATGGCGAATATGTATACAAAATATATATAAATATATATATAAATAAATAAACATAAATATATTATTTAGAAATTTAAAATCTTATTATTTATAAAAATAATTCAACTTTACAAAACATTTATAAGGCTACAAATAAATATGGAAATTCACAAATATGATATTAATATTTTTCCCAAATATGAATATTTTACCTTTTATTTTCTCTTTTAATTAAAAAAAATAGAATTTAATTATTTTATTTTTAAAAGTTAAAATTTTGTCAAATAGTTAAATATATATATATATATTTTATAAAAATCTCCCCGTCTATTTACCGAGTGTTTTATCAAACTATAAAAATTTTAATCTTTTAGAGACTAAA